GGGAGAAAGAGAGAGATGGAGAAAGAGCGCGAGCGAGAGAGGAGTTAGCTGAGGCCGGGAGGGCGAGGGAGTGTTGCAGGCGCAGTGAGAGAAGGAGATAAACGGGCGAACTGAGACTGCTAATGAAGGAAACAGTTAGATTCAAACGGCCTCCAATAATTATCCTGCCAGCCATCCATATTATAGTCTCGACAATGCACGAAATTGTTCACACTTCCCTTAACAGTACATCTAACGCTCCGTAGTTCCTGAATGCCGGATGGAAAAGGGTGGCTGAGAAAAGGGGACTGGCGTTACTACTCGAATTCTTACGACATGATCGTACGGTATAGTCTGCGATGCGCCGCTCTGATGCAGTTTTTCAAACACTAATCGAATATTTAAAGGAACATAATAAACATGTACAAATTTTTACGACGCCAACTGAAACTGACATATTTAAAATAGAGAATATCACGTCTTTCTAATCGTCAATTAGATTAAGTTACATTGTGTTATTAGCGAGCATTAATTTATTATGTTGCATCTTATAGATTGTATTACTTTACATCGAACAATAATAAGTGATAATCTCTTCGAGTTTGCGTAAAGACTTTTTAATCGATCCAATAAAGCAGAGAATTTTACAGTGTCACAATTTTCTTAAGCCGCTTTCTACATTTAGAGAAGGTGATACTTGACTATTTACAAACATAATTCGATTAAGTTTCTCGCACAAGAAAAGAAACCTGAAGAGAACAGGAGCTCGATCGGCTAACTCATGCTGAAAAATTGAACCACACGAGATGGTATATGTCGCAATCGTATATATCACCCCTCGGTTTCACCATATACTATATTAAGCTTCAGCCGCGACTGCATAACTTAGAGAATATAGTCGCACCGATGAATGCACGTCGAACGATCGTGCGGACCTGCAAATTCATGCCATTTAGGATTGAACCTCGAAGCCAGAGGCCCGGTCTCGCGGCGTTGATGTGTTGATATTAGTAGAGCTAATTTGATAGTTTAATCAATTTCCGTAAGCCGACGGGAGTTTAATAGTGATGTCATCATTTTCAACGGGGCACAATGAGGTTAATCTCGCTCGACGAGCTAATATTCGGAGAGTTAATAGAGTTTCAAATGCAGGCAGGGCCGTTATTTGCCCGCATCCGTTCGCGAGCATACACGTACGTCGAGGTATCGAGGCAACGGGAAGGGAAAAAAGGATAAATCTCCGCAGCCCCCGCGCGCTGCAGGAAGATACCACCGTCTCAGTAACGGTAAATCGCGATCTGCGATGATTCGTCACGTTAAATAATCGCCATTGTAAGGGTAGACCTGGTAAAAAAGTGAAAACCCAAAGTTCGATCGACGTGCCTCGTCAGGCAATACATCGCATAATACAATCCTATTGCAATTTCTGCAAACACAAAACGATTGCAAACGTTTTGTTCTAAAATATACGTGAACAATTAATATTTGTATACATATAATAAAAAATCAATGTAACAGGATCCAAATGGAAAAAAAAACATCTCTCTTTTTTACAAAAATAGATCCTTTTCAATTTAAAGAATTTAATAAATTTGACGTTAGGGAAAATTTAGTAAAAATAGAAAAAACAAGAAAATGTATAAATTTAGACAAAAATCCGCGTGGCAATGCGTGAGCGAAAGCGGCTACAGAATCGACGGGGATTACACACGGGGGTGGAATTAAAGATTCGCGAGTGTGTTTCGCAGTTTTCGTTCGAGCGGCCCTGGTTGCGAATCCCCAAGCGGGCATATTAGGTGGAGGTACGCAGTTAGGCAATAACCGCTGTCAATAGAACCCGACCTCCCCTCCTCCTCCTTCTCCACCTCATCATCATCCTCCACCTCCTGTCTCTCCTCCTTCTCCTCCTCCTGCTCTCCTGAAGTGGCCCCCACTCGAAAATGCTACTCGCTAAATTAGGTAGGTTATATGGGTTTCGTTTCATTTGCGAGCAAACTTTAATAAACGCTAAAATTGCGTAAAAGAGCAAGGTTTTCAGACGGATGGATCAGGGTCGAGCTGATCTCTCGTCGGAGACGGTACCTACAAATACGGCGAACTGTGGCTAAAAAATCACATTATTACATTCTATTAAACGGTAAATATGAGTATAGCAACAAAACTTTAGAAAATTGTGAGACAATAATGCACTAGAAAGTAAAAAACGTGTGTCACATGAACAACAGTAAATTACCGACGTTATGCTTAACTGATATAATTAAAAATTATATAGATAAAAAATAAGATAAATTATACGCAGATATGTCTTATGTAAAATAAAAATTTATCTATATAAGATAAGAAATAAAGTTATACGTCGTTTAATAACATTAAACATAAATGTCTAATTTATAAAAAAAAGCAGATGTTTTAAAATCTTGAAGAGCGCATTTATTTTAAATTCACAACATATTAACATAATTTGAGAAAGTAGTACCTTTTCTGTTTAAGTTAAAAATGAGATGGAAATAATGTATGTTCTAATAATCTGAGATAAAGATAAAATGAAGCTACTTCTTCATCTAGATGGTTATATAAATAATTGTAAATACTGAGATGTGACACTGATACGAAGCAGGGTAATTTATCACATAGCAATATAATATTTATATAAACATAATTGATCAATTATAAATTAAAAAAAGATTATTTAAATTAACAAAATTTTCATAACTTATTTTTTATTACATATATTTATATATTTTTCAATTTATTATTTTATGCTTCATTTATTACTTCTTTATATAAAAAATGACAGTATATTTAATTTTACATATTTGTATATTATAATCTATATATTTTTCAAAAATTTTGTATAGATATAATATCTTTTAAACGCGGCATTTCTTGAAGGAAATATAATTATATTAATTTAATTAATTTCTTTTTGTATTTAAATAGAAAATGAGCTTTAATTTTCACATTACCATGAGTGAGTTTTGTCTTCATCGCTTTATTTTTTATAAAACAGTTTATATCTAATTATTTTGAGTTTTTATCAATTATTTATAGAACTATTTCTTACCTTTTAAAAACTGTACTATACATATATAATACTTATAAGTATGCACATATGTGTCGTACTTGCTCAAACACACATAACAATTACACAGATTATAAAGATTTATCAGAAATATTATGCAACATTTGTTGTAAATATTATGAAAACGTTTTATAAATATTGTAATCCCGGTAAAAAAAATTAAACGTCGCAGAAATTGGCGCGGTAGCTTATCAATTTATCTTTTCCATAAGAGCGAAAGAATTATTGGCTAGATAAGTTTGAAGGCCTATTGCACACAAAACGCGTTTATCTAACGATTATTATATTATCGAAAGTTGAAAAAACAAAGAAGATTACAAATGCTTTAGTTGTTTAGTTCACGCCACTGTAAATGCTAATAGTGCTGTCATCTAGTTTCCAAACTTGTAAAATACACATCACCTCTCGAAATTATGAACTTATTTGTAGATATCTGCTCTACCTACCTATGCCTCATTTAACTATCCAGTCATCGATTACTCAGAGTACTGCATTATTGACCATACCATAGAAAAATATGGAAAAAATATATATATATATCCAGACTTCGATGAGCAAGAGACTGTCCGGGACCCTATCGATAGTTATAAAAATTTACCGGTTTTTAATGCGTCGTCTATAATATAAAGAGTAAGCTTTTTTCTCACATAATTCAATCTGTAATTGATCAATTTCTTATTCTTACTATTGAACGTTGAAATCGTTAAAATCTTTATTAATTTGATAAATTGTAATTATTTCAGCGATTTATTTCCATCAGAAGCGCCATAAAAAAGTAGATACTGTGTAGTTTATATCCACTTCTTCAGAGGGCAGTAATCACGGAGTATTAGAAAGGAGTATCAACTCCTTAGCTTTTTCGTTCTAAAGCCTTGTGTCTGCTTGTGTCCACGATGCTAGAAATCGGTCCGAGATCTCGGATGAAGAAAGAATTAACAAATCACATTTGAACAATTTGGTCACATGACCAATGTAATTGGTCAATTTTTCCTTGCATATTAAGTGAAAACGAGTCGCAATACTCCTGTATATTATGGGCCTTCTACAATAAGCCATAAGTCATAAATCGGAAGTAAGAAACTAAAAATTGACGACTGTGATTAGTCCATTTCTAGCTCATGATTTATGATTTGTGACTTACGGCTTATTGTAGAGGCCCATTACACACATGTGGACATGAGGTCTGTTCGCGTTGCTTGCACTTTTTGCACTTACCATCTTCGCTTTCTTTCTTTTTAAAGCCGAATATACATCTATCTCACTTTAAGTGCAAAATTATTTGGGGATTTCATGCAACGCGAACAGACCTATTGTTCTACCTCCACAACCGGAAGAAACGGGGTTCTCAGCGATGAAAGCGCCATGAATTCTTGCCGCTGCGGAGCTTACAGTAAACTGCAGAAGTTGATACTCCTTCCTAATACTCCGTAGCAGTAATGCGCGGCATTTTTTTTTGCGATTTACGAGAAATAAGCTTATGTGACTTATGTCCTCTTTTAGAATTTTCTCTGGTTGGCTGGTTGTTGCTTCCGCTGCTTGAGGCTTGACTGGTTTGACGCTTGCTTCTAAATGTACATACATACATACCTTAAAGCTCTATGATCGGGTATTCATAGTCAGTTCTTATTTGAAGACTGTCTTAAGTATGTCTTAAGATGCTAAAGCGGCCCTCTGATTGGTTCATAACTCTTCAAGACTGAACTTAAGACGGTCTTGAATATAAGAACTGACTTATGAATACCGGCCTATGTGTCTTCGATCGGTCCAAATTCTTGGATCCAGGAATATGTAGCCAATCAACATGCAATTTTTACGGAAAAACGGCAACTTGATTGGCTACACAATTCTCGGTTCGAGAATTCTAGCATCATAGACATAAGACTTAAAGGAGCGATGTAAACTAGGCCTTTTATTTCTTCTACAGTCTGATAAAATCTATCAATGCGACAGAGTATTGTCAACAAATGGTTATGTTACGCTCGGGTGTACACAAGCGAGTGTGAAATATTCCTGATCGACAATGAGCCTTGTAGCTTACGATAGTAGTGATGAGAACTCAGAAAATGAAGAGAGCGAGGTCGGAGAGTCAAATATCGTGAATGATACGGATAACGATACGACCGAAGCAGTAACCGTACAAATAAGCACGAAATTATCCTTACCTGCTCCGAAAGTAGTTTCACATAGTACAAATGATGAGGAAGAGAACGATGATGCGGATCATAACTTACAACAACTTCTTAATACCTTGCCAAAACCCAGAGATTCCACTTCTATAGGAAAAGTTGAGGAAGTCGATGACGATATTTTATTGAAAAAAGAAACGGAAAATCAAGTCCTGAAACCAGCAAAGAAGCAGATAGTAAAAATATCAGTGCCTTCCTTATTGGAGGTATGTATGTATGTGTGTGTGTGTATATATATATATTTAAGTAATTAATTTTATCAAACATTTGTATTATTTCCATACTGTATCAGTTTAAGGATCTTGAAGAGGAGAATGAGGACAAGCCAGCCAAAGTCATACAACTATCACAAGTAAGTTTAGAAAATATTCTCAAAGTAAACACCTATAGATACAATTCATGAATTATTGATCATTATAGAAGGGCTGTGGACTGTTCTCCCTCTTGACAGCGCCAAAAGGAAAGCCAGCAAGCAATAAGACTTTAATACCTCAGGTTGTTAAAAATACAGTAGTAAAAGCCAATATACAGCAGCCAAACACAAAGAAATCCAGTTCTAATCAAAACAATTTTAAAGTAAAAAAGCCAACCTCAGATAAATCACATAATGAATCGAGCTCGGATGAAGAAGATGCAACAATAGATTTCTTTGGGCTGGCCACAAGTGAAGATCTGCCAGACAATTCCACAGGTGATAATCCAACAGAATTACTAGATTCAACATTGTCTTCGGATGATCTTTTACATAAATCAAATACTAAAGTTTCACTCACAAAACATACAGAAGATCATACAATACACAGCTCTTCTTCTATCAATTCTGATGCTTCAGTGAATGGCCACTCGAGTAAAACATTAACAAGTAATGTTATAAATTTACCAAAAGAAGAGATTTTATTGAAAAATAAAGCAGAGGTTGGTCCAAAGTTACCTATCCCTGAACAAGAATACAACGTCGACTTAGAAGGTAATGTTGCTTTTGATGAAAAAGCAATTGAGTATCTTTGTGGAAAACGGGGTATAAAACGCAAGGAAATTGATGAAGCAGATATAATCGAAATAAACGGGGAAGACATAAAACCAGATGAACGAGAATGGTTGGTAAAGGCATTAACGGAAGAATCTGTACACAGACCGGTATCTATGCAGAGTGGTGGGATAAATTCTCAATCCAAGAAGAAACATCAGATAACTTATCTAGCACATCAAGCTAAAGCCATGGAATTGGAACTCAAAAATCAGTGGTCTCAGAATAGGATGGCACGAAAACAAACAAAATCGAAATACGGTTTCTAAATGCAGATTTATACAAGTTTTTTTTTTAATATTATACACATATAAACGATCTTTTATTTATAAGCTAAATTATAATGGCATATGTACAAAAAGTATTACGAATACTAGAATATATCAAAGTTTATTATTCAGTTGTATTTTTGAAATGTCATTAAAACTCAAATTTACTCTAACAATGTATCTTTTCCAAAAATATCTGTTCTAGATTTTTCTATTCTTTCGAGCTATCTGCCTTTTTATTTTTAAGATAGATATCTGACATTTGTTCAAAGAGTATATAAATACTGAAATATATTAATAGTCAAGTTTGAAATGCAAATCTCGAGTTTACTGAGTCTTTTCTAAAAATATCTGTTCTAACTCTTCATACTCTTTCCTTTTACTTTCTAACAGTAATTTAGCTTGCAGCAAGTTTGGTGGTAAATTCTCGTATTTAGCAAGCGATTGATTGAGATCTGCTAATCTGCTTGTCTTTTCCAGGTACAATTTAAACTTGTTCAATATTTTTTCCGAATAAAATTCGTCAACTTGCATCTTGCTTAAATCTGTTTCCAATTTCTCTACAGCTTGCTGATACTCCTTTAATTTTGTAGACAGAAAAACCTTATTACAATACATATCATTCTTATCCTCCTCTGTAACGTCAATAGAGTTCTTGAGAGAATCGACCGCATCTTGAAGATGATCAAGCTTTGTTTGTAACTTTGTACAATTTCTAAATAATTTATCGTACTGTATGGACATCTGCTTCTGTTCTCGCTCCCATTTTTTTTCCTCTATAATCTTTCGTTCTTTAACTACCTGCAATGTCATTTCATCAAATTCGAACAGCTTTTCAGCTTTTAGAATCGAAGATACTGTCTCTAAATCTTCTTTTATGTCGTTAGGTAATGTCTTGACATCAAGATTTAATTTAGCTGATAAAGTTGCCATCTCCTTTGTATATGCAGCATTTTCTTCTGTTGTTTCCAATATGGCTCTTTGTAAGTCTCGAAGCAAAGAGACTTCATCGGCTGACATATTTTTTTTGTTGCATTTTGCAACACCAGTTGTAATAACTGAGTTATTGTGTGATGCTACCTGTTTTTAATTAATTACTAATTAATGTTTCTTACAAGTTTTAGCCTTAATTATTAATAATAAAGTGGTATAATTAATAACTATTCACATAATAAAACTAAAATTGCTAGGATTGTGTTATATATTTTAAAAATTATACAAAAAAGTCTATACAAAAAATATATACTTAAACATGTTAAGTTTATACAACTCTTTTATGTAAACAATACCTATGTTCCAAAATTCACTGCCAGTGCTAAAAATCTATAGTTTATATTACATATATGTTTTCAGCATTGGCAGTAAAATATAGTCAATATATAAATAATGTAAAATATATGAAACAAATTAAAAACTTGAAGGGCAAAGAGCCAGTTATACAACAAAGCAATTTTATTTTAAAAAATAAAATACAAACATTTCGACACCGAACGGGTCATTCTCAGTGAATACATTATAATAGCGAAATTATTGAAATCTGTAAAATATATAATTATTCAGTATTTTTCATATCTTATAATGTTGCAAGTCATTACATTAAAATAGTCAAAACTAGTCATCAAAAACTATCGGTAGCAAGACAGCAATAATCTTATCAAATAAAAACACAGAAAGGTGGTAATCCGTGGTAACATACAGTATTCTCTTAAATTTTGAGCAAGAACCCATAAACTGCTTACAGTTTACACAGATACACAATAGACAGTTTATATTGTATACACATAAAAAATAAACTATTATTATATTTTACGCGTAAACGTTATGATTATATTAATCTCATGATCGATTTGCAATAATTATTAATAGTAAAATTACATTCTTAATAATTATTGATAATTAAGCTAATGATATTATATTATTTTATGTATGTACACATAAGTAAAATTCTGATACCTTTGAAAAGATTTACTCACCTCGCTAATGTCCATTTCATCGATTGTTTTGAGCAGTTTTGATCGTTTTGATTTAACCGTTATTGTTGCGTTCAATGAAAAAAAGCGAAAGATGTCACCACTGTTCGAACGTCACTAGAGACACTAAAGATGCACCGCGGTTGCGTCAGGCCGCCGACCGATGGCGCTACCATCGAGGGCTGCAAGCCGAGTTCTGCCGCACGTTGCCGGCGATTATTGCCGGGAATGCCGGGTTTGATTGAGTTCTTGCGATGCGAATCACTACGAATTCAATTTTAAAACGTGATCTGGCCGTATCGTCCTCCTTTTTCGTTGTTTGAAGGCGGGAGCCCGGGAGCCATTAATTAAAAAAAGGAAGAAGAACAGGGCTGCAAACGGATTGGAAATCGCATCACTGGGTGAAAGTGGCCTTAACCGCCCTAACTAAGCTCCACAATGTGGAGCTCAACGTTCGACACCTCGCTAACCCTCGCGCCTCATGAAATTCGCGATATAATGATGCGCTCGGAGAGGAACGACATTACTATCAAGGAGATGATGGAGGACAGCACGGTGACCGGGGCGATTCTGAAGGCAAACGAGCCGTGGCGGGAGGCTAAAGCCAAACTCTACTATGACTTCCTTCAGAGCGTGCAAGCGCACTTCTCGGAGGCACAGGTCTTTGATGCCATCGCGGATTTCATACAGAACTGTACTGACACGCTGGACATAATGAGAGGTACTGCAAATATTGGAAAAAGTACAGTAAATAATTTATACCGTTTTCCAGCCTCGCAAGTAGATACAATCTTTTACAATCAAAATAGAGCTTTGTAGCTCTGATTGTAAGAATAAATCAAATATAAGTAAAATATCTATATGAGCCTTTGAGTTGTCAGTACATAAATAATATATTTATAAGACAGTAAGATATAATTTGCAAACAATTAGAATATACTTATCAAATGAAATTAACTGTAAGCGTTTTGAATTATGTTCGGTACAGAAGCAAAGTATATACTAACTGAGTTAGCATATTTTTTATACTGTTATCTGATTAACAAATAAAAAACATAGGATTTTTAAATTTAAAAACAATAGGAAGAAAAAGTTAGTCAGAATTTTATGTACAAAGCCTAATACACAAATTTAAAAAAAAAACGATTTAGTAAAAACAAAAAATAATTAAGTTTTTGACATTGTTTTTAATTTAATTGCATACACACTAAATTCCACGCTTGACTCTCAGTAATCTATTTTCCACATTGTTTTTATTTAATCATTTTGTAGTGAATATAAAGTATATTAAATTTTAAGCAAAATATTTATTAAATCTATTCCAACAGGTATGCAATCAAAAGTTGAAAATACAGAAATAGCAGAAGAAGAAATTTCTTTGGAAAGTGAGAGGAACACGTGGAGACTGATATATTGCCTCTATCAGAACCGTATAAGTAGTAGCGCTAGCTTGTCTACACAAATGGAATATGATGAACCAATAAGCAATAATTATATATCTGAAAAAGATGTTATAGAAAATTTGTTTAAGTCTGAAAGTTATATCAGAGAATATCAATTGATTATTGATTGGCTAGAAAAAAATGCTTTGGATCAAGCGGATAAATATCCATCCGTAGAGCTCTTTACCGATAAAACAGTAGCCTGGGAAAACACAGTTCATCAGTTGCACAATAAAAATTTGGGAATTGCATTCAGCTCATCCAGACCAATGGTATCGTCTTTAGATCCTGATGCACCGATACGAGAGGGTAGGCCATTACATGATTTGGATAGAGAAGATGATGCTAGACTTGAAAAAAGAATGTTTATAGAGGTATATATAGAGACTATAGATTTGTTCTCAACTATAAAATATTTGCGATTCATTCCAATTATTATAATTAAATGTTATCTTTAAACACATTTTAACATCTTTGCTTATTTTTTTAGCAATTGATTTAATACAAAAATAATTAAAAAAATGAAAAATATAATTACATTTAAAAAGATGTGTATTACAGGTACGTTGTGGACGTCTTCAGAAAGCCCAAGCATTGGCCATGCATTGTGGTCAACCTTGGAGAGCCGCATGTTTATTAGGATGGATTCCTAATCATGATCCAAACTACAGCAATCCATTGACCGACACTAAATTACCAATCGAAGGGAATCCTAATAGAAGTCTTTGGAAGATGTGTGCTTGGGAATTGTCGCAAGATAAACGCATAGGTATAATGATTTATTTGATATTATCAAAATATTGTATTACTGAAAAAAGATTGTAAACTATTAGAGTATTTTGTTAGGATAATTTTTGAATACTTTTAAATGCTGAATTTTTTCCTCCATAATTAAATTCAACTGTTTATTTGTAAATAAATATGTATACACATATTTTCCGTACAGGTATATTTTATCGTGCCATATATGCAAGCCTGTGTGGCAATGTCCAGCTACTACTTCAAATAGCATCCTCTTGGCAAGATGCATTGTGGGCTTATGTGAAGAGCCTTTTAGATATCAAAGTCGAATCAGCATTGAGATTAATGATGATAAAAATTTATACAGTTATACCAGAAGAATATTGGAAAAATGAAATCTCATTGGAAGACGCATTCAAAGAGCTGCACGCATCGAAAAATCCAATAATACGTGCTCAGTCTAACAAACCCGATCATTTAATTCAAAAATATATAATACTAGATCAAATACCGAAATTAATGAAAGAGATTGAAAGTATGATAGATGTAGGCGTCTGTGACTCGCAGTTCATTAGATTCCTTGCTCATCTGATATTATTCTTCAGACAAATTGGGAAAAGTACAAAGGATAAGGTAGAAGACAAAGTATTGATGGCGTATGTTCGTGTCCTTATTGAAATGGGCGATCCGACTTTAATCGCGTTCTACACAGCTACATTACCACAAGAGGATCAAATAACCAACTATGCCTCTTATTTAGAGAGTGTTAAAGAGCATGAACAGCGCCAGAAATGTTTGCGTGCGGCGGAAGACGCGAACTTGAATGTAGAAGCAATTACGAAATTGGTGGTGGAAAACATACGTAGGAAAGACGTAGAATCCGACCCAACGGACTTGAAAGGAACTATTACTGAGGCGGACATGGAAAAGATCAATGCTCTGGATTGGTTGATTTTCTATCAAAGTCAGAGAGAAGAAGCTTTACGGCAAACAAATGCGCTCATTAGATACTTTTTGACTAACGAAAAGATTGATGCGGCACGGAAAGCATTTAATAAGGTAAAAACTAAAATTAATTATCATAATTATATGAATTTTTTTTACAAATTTTATCATAATTTATAATTCTATAATAAACATTAATTTTATTATTATATAGTTAAATAATAATTATTTTTGTATATTGCATAGATTCCATCAGATTCAATTGAATCGGTTATGAGCGAGTATCCAACTATGGACTGCACGCTCAATCTTACAATAACTAATAACTTGTCGAAGAAAGCTGCCGCGGCAATAAGGGAATACCTTTGTTATAAAACATATCTTGACGCCCAGGAAGGTTTTGGCGAATGGTTCTCTCATTATCATCACGGTAAACCCACACCACCAGAAAAATTACCCACATACGCTACATTCACTGAAAAGGTTGCGTACGATCACAGAAAGACACAGTACAATTTAGAACTCGAAAGATGGAAATCTACTATGCAGCATCATACAAAGGTACGCAAAAAATGTAAACACATAATGCACAATCAAATGTAAATATAAATTGAATGTGTGTTTGTTTCTTTTGGTTTCAGGCTGTGAAACAGTTATTATTTAATGTTTTATTGTTTCCCGACGGGGGTTGGCTCGTCGATTCGAAGAGTAGCAATGATGAAACGTGCACGCCCGAAGATGAACTTAGGGAACACCAATTGAAAAAGTTGCGTGAGCTTTGTATTCCTAAAGTCACACTTTTGCTACATTCTGTTATGTCGGAAATGAATGAACATGACGGCTGCATTCAGTTGGCTGACGTACTTGCTTCCGAACAACATCAGCTGTACAAAGTATGTATAAATAGTAAAATAACTATTTAAATGTTAATTTTATAGAAACATGTATATTAATATGACACTGTTCTTGTATAGGTATTTTCAAAGGGAAAGTTACGCGAGGTGTTCAAAAAGATTTGTGAATCTTCTCTTGTCTTAATGGACCAAAAGAAAGATCCTTGGGGATATCCGAAGTGAAGTTTAAATATATAATATTGTATAAACCTATTTGTACAGCAGCACACGTTATTTATATTGATCATACACTCGTTGGCCCTTTTGACCGTCGCATTAAATGTACAAACAATCTTTATGATTCTTTTTCTTCTTTTTTCTTTTTTTATAAAACCAGTTTATTGTCAACCACAAGAAGTGAATATAAAATTTGATACAATGTTCAATAATTCGTAATCATAATATATCATATACCTCGTGATTACTTAGATATGCTCTTTTTACCCAAATATTAATAAATGTAGCGCTATCAAAGCCATTAAGATTAATGCGTGAAACGTGCAATGAAACTCATAGTTCATAAAAGAATAGAACATCCTGAGATATATTTCGCGACACTTAGAACTTGGTTTTACAATTAAAACACTTCTAATCGCGTATCTTCATCAGATCGCATAACATAAATTCGCGCACGACAACGACAAATATGTATGTTCCTTTTGGAATACAAGAATAAGAACACCTGAAATGAAACAACGATGCATTCCATTGAAATACGAACGAATGCCATTACATTTAAAGAATAAGTAGTGATATGGTTCATTGCATATTCTATTCTATTGTCAAAGGGACTGATATTTTTCTGTCGAGAAATAGAGAGCAGTCTTCTTTTCATCAAAATTTCCTTTCTTTCGTACGTATGGCTTTGATTTTGAAGATCGGATGTCTTCTAAGTAACGCTACAGATTAACTGAAAAAGAGACATTTATATACGGTACATTACATATAGACTATATAAAGAAAATTAACATTTTCGACAAAGTCTCCTATCTAGTAAACAATCGAGATTTTAACGACGCTCGCGCGCTTTGCGACCGACATTGACCGACTTTTTTTTTCTTTTATCTTACGCGAGATATGTCAAATTACGATTTAAATAGTAAGGATTGACTTCTCGTTACGTGTTTTATGAGACTATGAAACCATGAGCATTAATACATCTTAATAATCTCTAGGCAAACTTTGGAATGAATGAAGAGCTATAGAGATATCATTTAGAAACTTTCTGCTCTAATGCGTATATGAAAAAATTATCATGAATATTTATTTTAAATATATCAAATGGAGATTCGACACGAAAAATATTTAGATCTTAACCGCGCCGAAAGACAACAAAATCTCAGAAGACTTCAAAACGCTACAAAGAACGTCTAAAGCACGTTTGAACATCTAAAGAGATTTCTTTTGGACGCTTTTAGACATTTTTAAACCACCGTGTTATTCACGTGATTCATTTTAAATTAATTCAATGCTTGATGATACACTTGATAGATTTGAGTGCGAAAGATCATTATTTTATCTTTCAGCACGGCGTTATGTAATGCAACAACCTCACAGTGAAAAGAGTGCTAGAATTCTTCGGCATTCTTGCAAATATTTTTACTGGATTTAAACTCGTATAGTTTGTGCATTTACTTGAAACAGGAGATAAACGATTAACGTCTTACAAAGTTAGATAAAGTGTCCGCGATAAGTAGACGATTAGTGAAGTTAGTTGTTAGTTTAAACTAGCCTAACACGTAAATGCTGAAGAAAAACGAAAGGGTTGACAATTTCAACGTTCCTTGGATACAATTCGACACGCGCGCTAGTTCTGCAAGACGATTTTCATTTGCCAAGTAATACTCTCGCTCGCTATGTAAGACATCCTAGCTTTGCAGTACGGAACGGACGCACTTTTCGTATACGGATATTGTAACGGCGTATCTAAAAAATGCTTAAAGATAAGTATCTTGCTTATGAGATTTTTCCAACGAGATTACCAATTTTTGTAAAAATTTTCTTCTTTAGGGATCAGATACGTCAACATCAATTAACATTTTTTTACCAAAATCTTCCTTTACTTTTTTTAAAATTTTTTATATAATATTTAATATTTCAGAATCTTTTTTAGAATTCATACATTTTTCATATATATAATTTTTTATACTATTTCTTTATTTCAGAATTTTTTGAAATTTCTGTATGGCTTAATAACTTTTTAGAAAAGAACCTTGCACTAATCTCATATAAAAAACATGGTTTCGGTCAAATTAGCTAAAATTATAATTTTGTAAATTAAGAAATACTAACGAAAAAATTTCTTTAAAAAATTACAAAAAATAAATAATTAATAAGAATTTTTTTTAAAGCATTTTTATTTATGATATTAGTAGTATAAAACATCAATATTTAAAGAAAATATCAAGAAACAAAAAACAGAAAATATAACATAGCTTAATTTAACAACATAAAATTTACATATAATACTTTTAACTTCGTAAAAAAATAATAAATTTAAATAAAAGTTGACCATGTATAATTTTCTCCTGTAAAAAAGAATATCCAATCTCATAAGTTAATAAGATTTGTTTTTAAATTTTAAAGTTGTGTGGGACTGAAAAAATCTCATTCATCGAAGATCAGGAAAACATAATTTGATGAAGCTTTATAAATCTTTTTTTATTTTCCTGTTTCGTCATTAAGTTAATTAACTCATATTTTTTAAATAGATTTTTCTATATATAATATATAGAAGAAATATATGTGTAATATAGAAGTGTATAATGTAGAAGGAAGAAATGTAATTAACGTTGATGTTGTAGCAACTGTCCTAAAATTGCGATTTCACATACCACAAAAAATTTTGTTTGGGACGCAATACTTGCACAGGTGTAAAGCGTGGTATGATTCGACTGCATCGTTCCGTACATATTAACATATATAACAACGCTTCGTCCTTTGCTTAATATAAACTTTAAAATAATTTTTATCTCAAACTCTTATAGCTATTTATTCCTCTTACCGAGAAGTTACAAGACCGTTCGTACTTAAGCGATTGTTTTTACACTATATTGTCTGAAATATTAGTCTGCGCGTATACAAAGCTAGTTGTACAGTTTTGAAACGTATACAATAATCACGGGAAAACAAGAAATAAAAAGAAAAAAGCTTTTGCAATATTGTGTTATTTTTACGTACGTCAAATGCTAAAGTAATGATGTAAAATGAATATGACAATGAAAGTGCAAAGTGATAAGCGTCGATACCAATTTGCAATTAGAGAGAGAGAGTTCATATTTATCGCAGAACTTCTCTTTTAAAATTTGCGATAAAAATGTATGTATTATATTATTATTATATAATACGTAAAGATACGGTTTTGCAAAAACTTTATGATAAAATTGCTAATCGAAGTATATCAATGCCTTTAATAAGTTAATAATATTATAAAATAATTACACAGTATATTTTCATTTCCAGAGTAAAATTTCAACATTGTTCATAAAGTTTCCATGCGTAAATACAAACTTCGAAAAACGTATAAAATCTAAAAAGGCATTACAATTAAAAAGCAACAAAAGATGCGCTAAGACATTATTTCAAAACTCTTTTGTAAAATCTATCGTTAGTGATTATATAGCTAGTTCTTGTTGAAACCCGCTGCTTATGGAAAATTGTCTAAATTGCGTTCGAAATGGTAACGTGATAAGAGTTTCATTTCTATCTCATCGCACCTCTGTTATTTCACATGTCTTACATAGTAACTGTGCATGGATGGAAGCTTATAAGTAGACCGTTTTAGTAATATTAATTGAAAGATAGATCTAGAGTTGTAAATATTACGCACTAAGTACCACTAACAATTCGAAATCACGTTTGAAACTGTACAACATTAACGGTAATCGTTCGCATACTATACCGGATGACTAATATTTTGAATTTAGTCTCCGGAGGCGCTTCCACAAACACGTTTCATTTATCCTCTTTATACGTATTAATGTATACAGTAATATAGCCAAAAAGTTCTCTTAGGATCTAAGCTATTATTTGTTTCTTATGAACTAACAACTTGGGACATCATCGGGCTGCTGCTGGAAGAATGTGATTGAAAATGAAGTACGCATCAACCACATAATTAAAGAAGTAATATAAGGTAAATAAACGCGAGCAAAACTAAAGCACGGCTTTTTGAAATATGTAGAAATTATTAATTATAACAAGATGTATATCGATATTTTTTTTATCGTTACAAGCAATTCTGCAAAATTAAATAATTTAGATAACGATTTAGAAAAAACTGCGTTGTCAAATGTCAGAGAAGATAATCAATTATTATAGTTCTATACGATTTGAACTAATCAAAAGATAAATTTACTGTACATTTTTTATTTAATTTAGAAATTTAATTGAAATATTATCATGAAATTTTATTTGTACTCACACTACGAACGATGTATTTATCTATATGTTATTGTCTATATATGTTAGCTGTACATGTACATGATGCGAATGGAACACTTTACCTATATGTGACTTATGACTTATGTTTTATTGCAGAATAATACACGACTTATAATTTGTCTCATACATTTATATGGGCGAATGATTGATTCATACACATGCAATTCATTATTGTAAATTGGCGAGTTTCGACTATAATTGATCTAAGGAAAGAAAAACAGCTTTTTCCGGGAGCAGCCCGCTTCTATCGATTAGATCCTGCAAGTTGATAATTTATTATTGTCATTCACAGATGTAGGAGTTTTATCCACTTACAAACTAGAATCTGTTACTTTCAAATGGTTTCCTTAGAAAAAGAAGAAATGAACAGATGAAAAATATAGCGACATAGTCTACGTCTCGAGCAAAGATCTCGTTATTGATCGGGATTGCTCTCAAGTATTGTCATATCGAAAATTCAGCGACACAAACATCGATTAAACGATTCTTATTTATTTACTTGTATGATAATTAGTACGAGTCCCTATTTACTTTCTCCTTTTTTTAACGCTTCACCCCTTGTAAAGTTAGATGTAGATGTAATGTAAGTTTCAAAGAATTCTGTTCGGTATATGTATGATATACTTGTGTATGTGTATATACGTATGTAATGAAATACAGACTGGTCTTCGTATGATAAGCGGTTGAATCGCAAAGAATTTGTTGCTGCGAATTTCATGGACACCCCGGCACTTAGGAGCTGGACACACATTTAAAACTTGACATTACGAGAGAGACATTATACTAAATTCACTACCCTAAGTGATTATGTATTCTGTTGATTTCTCTTGGTTGCACGTCTTACATATCCCTTGTACGTTTTGTGATGTAAGTTATATCTGTGAGATAACTGTCGCAAGCAGTCTTTTGAAACTTGTTTTATAATTTTATATGTTTCCTTTTTCTATTATACTTGCGAAAGTTGTTTTTGCTACACGCGCGACAAACAGCATTGCTTAAACAATTACAGTCATGTCAGAACACGCACAAAATATTAGAAACGTAATTAAAATTGTATTGAATATTTAAAGAAATAGTTTTTAAAGAAATAATTCCTTCTCTATATGTGATATTTTTTTTTCTATAAAATATAAACCATAGCTTTACTCATGTAATACACTTTACGCACAAGAGACCAGTTCCAAAGTACTAGACGGTGTCCTTCTGCCGAGTGGGTCCTAATCCTTGTAATTAAAGACATTTATTATTATCTGTACCCAAGGCACATTTACTTTCATTCCGTTTTAGGAAGGTCCACTCTATAGTATATACATATTATAGCATTATTACACGTATAGGGGATAGTTTGTAACTTGCACATCTCACCCTTAAGTATTATTTTTTCTTTACTTTCTTGTACATAATCCACATTTCGTTAATCTCTTTTCTTTCTCTTTTCTCTTCTTTTCTCTCGATTGACTACTCTACGTATTATTGTCAAGTCGACAGCATTTATAAATGTATTTCTTACGTATTATCGTCAATTTAAAGTTATATTAAAATCAACTATAGTTTTGTGCAAAATTTACATTGTACATGTTGATACATCTCTCTCTCTCTCTCTCTCTCTCTCTCTCTCTCTCTCTCTCTCTCTCTCTCTCTCTCAGCATCAAATTTATATCTATATATAATTACGTGTTAATCAGCTCGATTTTAAATATCGTTTTGATATATCCTTCCTCTAAACAATCGTTCGTTATTGTCAAAATTTCATTATTCAGTTCTTATTACGATTATTGTCAGAATTTCATTGATTATTCAGTTCTGATCACGATTATTGTCGGAATTTCATTGATAATTCAATTCTTATTATGATTATTGTCAAAATTTCATTGATTATTCGGTTCTGATCACGATATTGTCAGAATTTCATTGGTTATTCAGTTCTGATCACGATTATTGTCGGAATTTATCCATTTCTAATCTACCTATTTCGTTATTATTGTCAACTCAGCTTTATATGTCAGAGTATGGAAATTTTGCGTCCATGTTCATACATATATATATGTGTATGCGTGTACCTGTGTATATATGTATATATATTATATATAATATATATATCTCATATGTATATAATATGAAATATTCAATCTGATAGGTCTTAAAAATATCTTGCTAATCTTTTACCTTAGAATAGATCTTATATACTAAATACTTTCATACAACCTTGTATGTGTTTTGTCGATTTAACAATCGTACATTGTTGTAGCTTTCATAATTATATTAAATCGATCAGTTTTCGTCGTCATCTTTGTCTTCTATTTTGTTTGTTCCACATTAAAAGAAGGAAACGCAATGATTCATCTCGAGAATAAAAGTGCGATAATAAACGCCACAAACGTCGTAAACGTAGGCAGAACTTGACTGATGCCGTTAATGTTTCTCTGCGACCGTCCCGGATCAACAACATGAATCTTCCAGCCTAGATGTTTGTGCGTGAAACACTGAAGAAAAAATTGTGATAAAAAGGTTGATATTAGAAATCTCTCAAAAAATTTAATAAATTTTAATTAGACTGTTTACTAAATTAATTTGTATCTTTGCAAGTAGTTATTTGATTTTAATTTTTCCTTAATAAGTTATACCTGATAATAGACTAAGTCCGGCGTATCCTGTTTCACAGTCCATACAAGCTTGGCAGGCTCGCCCTTGTTGCATTTAAGTTCAAGTGTTTCGAAGAAGCTCTTGAATGTCTTGTAATTATCTGCGTTATCCACTGTGAGACGAGTCCATTCGCAATAACGGCCGGCTGCGGTTGGCTGAAGATATCCATTGGAATCATACTCTGCTCCAGCAAATACCATTTCCTCCGTTTGTTTTTCTATATTTTGTCCGAGACCACCCTCCGAACTGTCAGTTATATAGAATGGATGATACCTAGATCAAAGGCATAAGAACGTTTCATAATAATGTATTTTTTTATTCGTAATATAACGTTGTCATATTAGGAATATTTTGTAGCAATTCTAATTTTATTTTATCCTATGTGTACATACTTTAAAGGGTACTATCACAAACGAGAATACAACTCACTTAGCGGGATTGGTAGGATCGTTCCCACCCTCCACGATGAAGGTATAAGTTTTTCCTCGCTCAACGGTTATCTCCGGAATTAGTAAATCATTGATGTACCATGCGATGCCCCAAGAAGGTGTACCTATAAATTGTAATAAAAATCACTGATTGAGATTTTTATAGAATTTCTAAGCTTTTTTCAGAAATTATAGAATGAAAAATCTTAGAATACATTAGACCTATATTTTTCAGATTTCATCAGCTGTTTTCAGAAATTATAAAATGAAAATCTTAGAATATATTGGATATATACTTTTTATTTTACGTATGTTAATTAAATACTAACACAAATGTTGATACCTAAAAAGCTAGCGGCACACAATGCATGTTTGCTTGCTTTATTGTTTGCATTTGATTAAATCATCATATCTTAAAATTGGCGTGTCACGCTTTTTTGAAGCCTCTATTCGTTGAGGCAGTTAAAGTAATCCGAAAATGGTGAATTTTGGTAACAAGGAATTTTCGGGGACGCTCTTTTAAAAACATGGTAAAAATTATGATAATTAAAAAAGACTTATCCAATATGGCGGACGGAAAAGATGCGAAAATCTTAAAGTTTTTCGATTTCGGCGAAATTTGAATTAAGAGGACTTATGCGGACGCTGATTTCGAATCTGTGATCAAAATTAGGAAATTCCAAATGGTTAATCTAAAATGGCGGACGAAAGTGTTGCGAAATACATAAAAATTTAAAAATTTCAGCGAAATTAGGTAAATGGGGGTTACCGCGAACGCTGATTTTGATTCCGTGTTCCAAATTTTTAAATTCAATATGGCAGACGGAAATGTTGCGGAAATCAATAAGATTTTCCGAATATGACAAATTTAATAAGACGCAAAGAAATGTAATTATAATTTAAAGCTTAATCGACTATGCTTTGGTGTAAATTTTGTAAGAGAAAATTATATGGTCGTTCAAAAAAAAAAAAGAATCGCGCACGTAGCGCTCTGTGAAGTTGGCACTCCTAAATGCGAATATTGGTAATATCATTATTGCATTCGTTTGTCCACTGTTTGTCCACGTTTGTCCACCCGTTATTTTCTTTGGTCCACCCCGCAAAAAAAGGTAATACACAAAAAAAAATTGTAACATCCCAAAGTGATAATTTTTCATAATTATGTACGGGTATCGTTTGTCCACAACGCGCACGTGATTGTCCACCCATTATTTTCATTTGTCCACCCTATTTTTATTATATTTTTCGTAATAATGTAAAATAATCACTTGGGGGTGTTACAATTTTTTTTTATGCATAACTTTTTTTTGGAGGGTGGACAAATGAAAATAACGGGTGGACAAACGTGGACAAACAGTGGACAAACGAATGCAATAATGATATTACCCATATTCGCATTTAGGGGTGCCAACTTCATAGAGCAGCTGTGTAAAGTTGGAATCTGTAAATGCGAATATTGGTAATATTATTATTACATTCGTTTGTCCACTGTTTGTCCACGTTTGTCCACCCGTTATTTTCATTGGACCACCCTCCAAGAAAAAGTTATACACAAAAAAAATTGTAACACCCCCAAGTGATTATTTTACGCTATTACGAAAAATATAATAAGCATAGGGTGGACAAATGAAAATAATGGGTGGACAAACGTGGACAAACAGTGGACAAACGAATGCAATAATGATTTTACCAATATTCGCATTTAGGGGTGCCAACTTCACAGAGCAGCTGTGTAAAGTTGGAATCTGTAAATGCGAATATTAGTTTTTTCATATTAAAACTGCGGAACTATTTTTTATTTCTAGGTAGAACTGTGAAAAGTGCTACTGGAACTGTTATAATTTTTTTGATATCGACAAAATGTCGTGCCAGCTTCACATATCCTAGATAGTAAATATATGTGTTTATTTCATATCAGGCATCAAAACTTTCGCACGCACCAGTATCACTTTATAACGCGTTAGATAAACGTAAGAATGTTAATTGTGATTTCAAATTTTCTCGGGAAACATCAAGTTGAAAACTACCGTATATTATTAGATAATATGATGACCGCTTTTAAGAATATCGGCGTTCATATGTCATTGAAAATCCATTTTTTACATCACCACCTTCAATTCTTTGAAAAGCAGCTTGCTACAGAGTCAGACGAACAAGGTGAAAAATTTCATCAACAAATCATGCACATGGAATGTCGATACAAAAGAAAATCTCTACTTTCCATGATTTCTGATTTTTGCTGGTCAATTGCTGAATAAATTTAATAGTACATAGTGTAACAGTGGAGGATATTTGTTTATTGCGCGGCCGGGCACGAGCGCACGAGTGTCCGTGCCGACCTATAAACAAATATGCCCCCACTCGCTACATATAGAATTTTTCATTACAAGTGCTCGTCGTAATGTGCCCTATACAGCAACGTTTTTGCGCAGAAGAGTGGGATTAGAGAAATAACTCAACGGCTTGAGATATTGGCTATTTACCGCATGCAAAAGCGTTAAGCTAGGTATAGGGCACATTACGTGCACGCGTGATGAAAAAAATATTAACATGCACGTATATTTGTTATCATATATATTTGACCTCAAATCGCGCTACCTGTATTCCTCAAAATTCATAACTATAAATTGATTCCCCATTTTTGTACGATCTAACTTTGCCAAATCCCTTGGGGAAATGGTAGTGGACCGTGCCCCCGACATAACCAAACCCACGCGACCTTTGGAAAATTTTTGTGGTCACACAGTGTAAGTAATGAGAACACGTTATAGATGTGTTATTCAGTCATAACATGTTGATACCTGTGATTCGTGAGTATCCTCTTTTTGCACCAGTCGGTCCAATTCTTGCACTCAAAATATTCTTATCATTGATGACAGCCGGTGTCCATGGTTCAAGATCAGACGTGATCGGAATATTGTACAAGGAATTTGTACATTCGTGAACATTTCTTGACGTAAAATCGATACGAATATCCTCAGTGGTCTTATCGAATCTCTCATGAGCATTAGCTTCGCCTCGCGCATTTAAAGATCCGATGGCAGCAATCACGCTTGTTTCCCTTTCCGGAATCATCCTGTCCTTCTCTGGTTCATTAGTCCTCAGTGGGCGTGTATACGTGACTATAATTGAAATAAATCGCATTAACGATAATTTCTCATTTCATACACTTAACTATTACGTAATAATTACAAACAGTAGGAGTATATAATCACACGCAGGGTCGATCGTCTTAACGTAAAATCATATGTATTTAAATTCTTTAACAATATAATATGAATTCAAAGACTTCTAATAATCAAATGCTCAAAACTTCTAATGCTCAAAACAATGTGACACTTCTAATAATCATTTTGAAGCCATTTTAATACCATTTTGTTATTATGACTTTTTAATCTGCTTGGATAAATTATTCAATAAAAAATTATTTATAAATTTTTTTATATAATTGATAAATTTAGATATATAACTATAATATAAGCAAAAGACGTACCTGTTGTAATACCATTCTGTCTTTCCCCATGAACAAGTATTGCGTCATTCCTCCCACCGATCCTTTGATCCGGGCATACACCCCTCTTGCCATCGCACTGAGATATGTCCGTCATATAGTAATCCTCGGCGATGAACTTGCCAGTTTTATTATTGTATCCGATCACGACGACGTCACCGCCGATCATCTCGGCCTTACCATCCCGACCTGACAATCCGAATGCCACGTACTGATCCTCTTCGATACGTCCTGAGATCCGAATCTGTACATCCTCACCCTGTAGTTGCCATTGCACTTGAACACGACCATCCAACATTTCTTTACAGTTGGTTACCTGCTTTGGCGCCGGTGTACTGCTCGTCTGACAAAATAAAAGTCTCACATGTAACTTCACTACGAGAAATTATCGTCCATGCGGCAAAATCGTTCATCGCGTTGTACTTACTGGATTGTACCACCACGGCGGCTATTCCATTTGAAAACAGCAACATTATTATAAGAAAAAATATGTAGTAATTGAATGTAAACGATAACCCAGTAAACATCAACTAACAATTATATACTCACACATACATGTCTAAAAGACTTTTGTAAAGATATCTTAAAGACGTCTTTTATAATTTTATATATAAAAAAGATATCTAAAAGTATCATAGACAAGATATCCTTTAAACATGCATGTTGTATGGATAACATTAATGTTATGTTATTAGGCTATTAATTGGTGCTTACTGGAAAATAACATATGTATATGTACTAATAGTTTCATTATATTATCATAAAAACATCGAATTGAGGGTTTTTCGATAATCTATCGCGCGTTTTTAATTACATTTAGTTTTAAGAAAATATTGTTGTTTAAAAATATCTAAGAAAAGACTTATTGGAACAATTTCTATTAAATTTTAAATATTAGATAGTGACTATATATGTTTTATCATATAAAGACGCAAACGTCCTTCTTCACATTGCATTCAATTCGTCTCTATTAAAGCGAAGCTTTTCATCGTGTATATCAAAGAGTAAGGTAGAGTATATTATCATTTCGCAGTAAATGTTAATGAGAGTACATGAGGCACAAAAGTTTGGATCGTAACAGACCGGTGGATTGGAGAACTCATTTTGGTTTACCGTAATTTTCGTTTGGCCAAGAGCCGGAGGGACATCGAGGTCCTTTGGAATTAGAACATGCCCGAAATTGTGTCTGTATTCAACGCACCACACCGCGAGCCAGTTGATGTCGTACACCGTCAAGTTCCCTGGTAAGACGATTTCAATGTCCTCTCCTTGGTACCCTCTTAATGGTACCAAACTGTCAGCAGATTAGATAAGATTAATAATAGTCTTATATTGAATAAAACATTTTATATTAAGAAAGCAAATTACTTTTTCAAATAAAAAGACAGTATTCGAACGTTTATTAAAAAAAAACTATTAAATAAAGGAGAGTAAAAATTTTCGAGGGTTTTGCTACTGTGAGGATCGTTTTATTTTTATATTTTCTTATATTTATATTTTCTTCGTAAAAATCGAAAATAAAAAATTATTCCCGAGCGATAGCAAAAACCTAAAAAAATTTTATCCTCCTTTATTTAAATTTGAAATTATAATTATATAACAATTATGTAATAAAAAAAATTCATTTTTTATTTTTAATGAACGATGTTATAGCTCCATCTGTTTCCAATTCAATTCGTGCATTCTTCTATAATTTTGCGATTCACATATTCTGATTTTTATAATTAAAAAGTAATGTTACTTTCTTAAAATATATATGTAAATGGAGAAAATAAAATTTATATTAAAAAAATAATTGCATAATTATTAAAATGTATAAATAAACTTTAAAAAATATGAAAAAAGAATTTGTTTTAAAATAAATTATACAATTTTTGATATTTATTTACTTCTCATAGAATTGTTTGTATACTAATTTTACTATTAATATAAAAAAATTATAAGTTTTTATGAAAATTATTTCATTCATTACTTTGTATATTGATTGTGTCTCAACTGACCTGCCCTGTTCATTAGGGACTTTGATACCAAAATGGCTGGGTTCAGAGCCATTGCCTACCCAAAAGTAAGCGTCTGGCCCGCCACCATCATAGTGCAAATTTGGAATGTAGATCGTTTTGCTGTCTAGAATACTAATGTTGCCGCTGCGGAGGCCGTGCGCCAATCTCGAAAATTCAGGAAGTACTTGCAATTTCGGTACCTTCAAGTCAGACGGTATGAAAACGTCGCCGAAATCGACCTGAAACATGGAAATAACGTATTTATTTCTGTCTCATATATGATTGCAACGACACACACACCACACACACACACACACACACACACACACTCTCTCTCTCTCTCTCTCTCTCTCTCTCTCTCTCTCTCTCTTTTTCCCTCCTTTTTTTTCTATGATCCTAATTATTTTATAAACAGATGGTATGGCTTTTAATTGTTTCGTACAACTTCTCAAATAATTTTTGTCTTAATACCTTTTTTAATTATTTAATCTTAGTTGTTTAATTTTATATAATAGTAATGTATGAATATTTTCACAATTTTAATTTACATAAAAAAAAGTTAAATCATATATCTTGATGCAATATAATAATAACTACTAAAGTGCTTCTAGAAAAAAGAAAGAAATAAATATGAATAGAATGTTTCGTATATGAATTGTATATTCTAGTACAATTTTTTACATAAGAACATACAACACTCCCATGAGAAAAGTAACGCAAGTTGAAATTTCGCATTATTTACATTCTATCGACCTTCAATAGGAAAAATATAGTATATGTTGAATCCAAATATGAAATAGAAAAGAACTGAAAATGGGAAAAATGACATAAAATAAATAAAGAAAGTTTTTAGACGTCTAACATAACACATCAAAGAAAAATACTGCAAAAATTATTTTTTTAATATTAATCTCTTTTAATTTATTGATCTCAATTACTACTTTTTCTATCAAAATAGTATAAACATTGTAAATCTTTTTTATATTATATAGTCTTCGTAATTGAAGTTATTTTACCAAATCGTTCCGGCAAACCCGCTGGTTTATCCTTTCAAAGGTATGCATTTATATCTTCACGATGTCGTCGAAAAAGTCGATCTATCATCCCATACCCAGCGTTCGAGTTGACGTACCGATGAGAGGTTTCGGCTCGTTTATATTCTAAGTTCCGTCAAACATCTTAGTGAGGAACATGAGAACGCGAAAGAAGAAAATCGAGAAAAGAATGAAGAGAAGTAAAGAAAGAGAGAGAGGCAGAGAGTAAAGAAGCAAGTTATCGGTCGAAAGTTCGTAAAACCCAAGAAACCGATTCCACCCTCCATATAGAGAGTATGGGGCTGCATCAGTTCTCCTTCTCTAGGGAGCATTTTATGGGAGAAAATTCAACGTCCGCGACGATTTCTCAGCTCATTCCAAAACCTCGAACAAATCTATTCGTGAATGGCGAAATAGCGAGCTTATATTATACTAGCCCTCTTCGAGCGGATTTCCTTCGTTTTCTGTCTCGCGAGAATAATATAATCGAGTTTCTGCTAAAAGGTGATCCTCTTTTCAAAAGCTTTCCTTATATACATAAGCAAACTGCTACCTTAATTCTTCGAAATTGAATCTTTCAATATAAAAATATGAAGAATATTAGGATAAATTAATGAAAATTGTTTAACGTTATTAAATGTTGTGCATACATAATCATTTTGAAATAATAAAAAACTTTAGATTTTATATAGCTATAAAAATCATTAATAGGTGCACATCATGTACTTTTATGAATTTTTTTATTCCGTAAATGAATAATTTCTTGAGTAATTGCATCATAATAAATTTATGCGCAATCGTCCAAACCAGTCTAAATGGAGATATTATAATTACGATTGAAAGAGATCCTTGTCACACTCTTTTAATTTCGCATTTCTATTACGATCAATAGCTGGCTAATTAAAATTGGAATGAATTTAATTGAATTGCTAAAACAGAAATTAGATAAATAATAGCATCTGCGAGAGATTAAATCAGAAAGATGTGTATGCAAGAAGAAGCCCGAGCCCGCAAATAGTTCGTTAACTAAGATTACGTCTTTGAAATCGCGATGAGCTATGATTTTCCCTAGAAACAGTTTCCCGAGGAATATGTTCTGGAAGTTACAGAGTACATTTTGCAGAATTCCGCGTGCGGTACACAAATCAACGGCGCGGGAGTTTCTTCGGTTTTGCAGAAGTTCCTTTGTGCAATATATATGACCGTGCGCCAATTTCATCTCTAACAAGCACATCAGATGAAATGGCTGGAAAATTTGACGTTTGCATGTCGTACCCATGCCATCATTTACATTTATATATACATATTCTCGAGAAATGCTCTGCTCGCATCCTTTGAACACTAGAAGCTCCACAACTCCGTAATTAATTCTCTCTAATGTCAATTGCCCTCCTTAACAAGTTATCAAAGATATTACAAAGTACTAAATAAATATAAGCTTAAACTTCCACTTTCCCATCAATCAAATATCAGTTACGTTCTTATAAAAATTATTAAACAGAAGGAAGAGCTTCTCAAGTATGATTTAAAAATTTAGCTAGATACAAATTTGAAAATATTCTTGAAAATATTGGATTATCAAAATAATTATGTACGTTCAAGTTGGTTGCTAGAATGTCAACATTTTTTGCAACATTGCTTATCACGCTTAAGATTCCTATAAAATTATTTCGATGGTCTAACAAAATTATTTTCAGACTCTATGTATTAATTGATTGTATATATAAGATTATGCTTTCATCTCTATGACTTTGTAACATCTATAAGAATCGCTGAAGAAGGGCCCATGAGTTCCGAAACGTTCAATATTTTTATATTATTTTTTATTTTTATGTTGTAATAATATTGTAAACTAGAAATTAATTTTATAAACAAAATCGTATTATTGCTCGATTTAGACCGTTTTTTCTTTATACTTTGTAATATAATTATGTTGTAGTAATCGCTAATTACAGATTAATTTATGATTGATCGAAATTTTCCGCGGCCTTGTAGAGAAGATTTGCAAATAAAAAATACTTATTCTCTAATTTCTCACCAATCGTTTTGAATCAACGACACGCACGCAGCCACACACTCACTAATTTCATCATTAATAATAATTATTATCGACTAGTTAGGATGAACTCCCTCGAGACTCCGAAATTTGCATGCGCATTAATCCCATTTCGTTTAAGGGCTCGTCAATCATATCACCCTCGACTAGTTGATGGCTCGGTATACGCCGAGAAATGTTCTGTACGAATGAACCACGAGACGGAGTTCTTAATGACAATTTGAATGAAGCATACTTAAAATTGGCCTTCCAACTGCAGTCGCTTAATATCCGATCGAATAGGTACTACAGTTATTCGATGTTAAGAAATTAGCAAATATTCATCGGTTAATTTAAAATTTTGCTAAGAAAATAAATGTTCTTTATCGAGTGATAAAAAAATGAACAAAAATAGAAATTTAAAATTGAATAAAAAAATTAATTTTCTTTTTGTTATAGAATAATAACTTGTTTATCGCGAAACCGTTTCTTTAGTAATTTTAGTATTCGCATAATCGATAAAACAGCCACAAGCACTGTAAGTTTCCGAACTAAATTTACGTTCGCAACTTCAACTGATTCCGGAGACTGCGGTAATAGCTCTTTGTAATGGAACGACAAGAAATTACTCCATTCAGCGACATTAACCTCCTACGTCGACGTGTATATTGGCAGTAAATTTGATAACACCCACGTAGCTTTCCTTAATTATCGATAGTCTCCGGTATTAAATAGCGATGCAGCGAATATATGACGTTATTCTGGCATTCAACGAAATCAACGCCCACCTGTCGAAGTGTTAGTTCGCATCCCACGTCATAACTTATAATAGACAGAATATGACTAATATAAAATATATATTATATACATAGTTTTCGACGATACAGAGAGAGAGAGAACATTAATATACCTGACGGTTTCAAATAGCTTTCCACATTAACAGTCAGGATGTATTAGAAAAATGCAATATTTTCACGTCTAATTTAAGCTTTACAAGTTTTTTGCTCGTATGACATTTTTGCTATTGAACGATATGAGATAAAATAATGTGACGCAATACAAAAAATGGTTGCAAAACTGGAATATAAAACTGAGATTGCAATTGCATAAACGATTGATATCTGCAGATTAATAAAAAAAATTCTTCTATGTGATTGGAAAACTATTATTATACCTATAAGCTATTTTTATCAGACGTATGTAGATAACTTACAATAAACGCGATTAAACGAGACGCGACATATGTAGTAACCAAAAGCTATAATATTTAACATGCAATTTTGTGTATGTACATTCTTTTTCTATTGTAGAAAGCATAACGAGATATATATTGGTATTATGATCAGATTATCAAATATCCGACTGTTATCGGAGTTTTAAAACCACTTGCACCACAGATTCAATCGCGTAGATATCGCGATAGGTACATGGTATCACTCGATAACGAAATATTGCTAATAATTAAGTGAACGGCACTCAAGTTGAGTGCACCCTCAAAAAAAATCTGCGCGAATATCGATGGAAATTATAACTCGTATTATGATATAACATATAATCATGCCAAGTAATTTTAATGCAACCCAAAAAGTGAACTAATAAATTCAAAATATAAGAATATATCAATTCTATTCAAAAATCAATTATTTTATTACCAAACTTCGTATAGAATTCAGTGAATTCTGAAAACTCGTCGCACGCCCATTTAATCGAAGATTACAGTATTAAATGGTAAAGTGGCTCTTTCAAGAATTGGCGAGAAGAAAAGTCGAAGGAGCCAGATTTAGATCAATTTTCTCAAAAGTTCTTTTTTTCAAAGATACATTTATTCAACGTCACACCCTGCAATTCAATGATATCGGAATTCACGCCCCTGCCGTGATATATCGATCCACCGTTAATTTTTCATCGAGACGGTACCTCGAAATCTCTCCGTCGTTTAATCTTTTCGCGATGATTTCCCAAGAAAAATTCGCTTCGATCCGATTGTCCGCGATCGACGACTGCTGTGCAAAAGGGCTGCTATATCCCGGTTTATAAACCGGGATGCGGCAGTGCGGGGATTCTCCTCGTCAATCTGATACCTTTGATGTAGCCGTTACACCCCCGATCCCTTCACTGGAGATTTCGAGCGGGTTCGTTGTAACGTTCCGTCCTCCCTAATAGACTGTTT